AGATGAACGAAGGTCTTACGGGTTTGAAACGACATGAGGGTGAGTAATTAATGACAGAATTACATTTTTGGGTGAACTAACCTTTTAAGACCAGTTTCAGCACAAAATAAACATGACTAAACATCCGAAGGTAAGTTAAAAGAAAAAGTACAACTTTACAATCCGTATCCTGTCTCATGTAATCGCTCAATCAGTGTTTCAGCCGCGCAAAGACGTCAATATAACGGCTTGTAAACAATGTCAGGCACCGTCACATTTACCTCAGAACAACATATTCGGTGCCCATAAACTCATTAGTCAGCTAGAAAAATAAACTGTAGAGAGGGGCATTTTGCTAAATATATACACCATATAACATATCCATTATAAATTTTACTGTTCAATGTTTAATTTATGTTTGAATAAATCCATCAAGATTTTATGACAGCCACCATTATGTTTATATTTAAAAAACGAATTGAAGTAGAAATATTATTATGTAATTGTAACTTTATTATTTTAAAAACTTCATTAAGTGTAATTTTAACAAATCAGTCAATTGTAACTTTCAATATTATAGTAATGTAGTACCAACTGACTCTCATGTATATTTTACAGCATTAGTTGAGAGATTTCTTTTCCTTGAGAAAATTTGGTATGTACTGTACCTGATATATATCCAAAATAATCGATATTGAATCGAACCGAATCAGTAATCGAATCGAATCGCAAGCTTGAGAATGAGAAGCCAATCGAATCGTGAAATTTGTGTCAAAACCCAGCCCTAAACCACAGATCCTCATAAAAATCAAACACAAAAATGTGCGTTATCAGTAACAAAGGAATAACGTTAGTTAATTGTCATTATTTGGATAGTAGTAGAAAAGGAACACGTACCATAAGTGACAAACTTACTATTCACTATTTAATTAATTACTAAAAATAAATAAGTACTAGTATACTAGTAAGATTTAAAAAAAAGACCCTAGTTAGTTAATAGAATAAACGTTAATTCAAATGACTCAAGCTTTAACCCTAAAACGGAGTTATAGCTACATTACACTAAATTAGCATAACGATTTTTGAGGGGTTTCGATACGGTTATTGTACACACAAGTCGTTCATTTACCAGAAAATGTTTTACAGGCTCCGTTAAAGAAAGACAATAAACGAACGTTTAGATCACTTACTTGTGCTTCTTCCTAAAAACACACGTCTGTAATAATCAATTCCGCTTTCTGAAGACAAACTCGGTGAATGTTGACGCTGGCGACGCCGCGTGATTGAACAATATCAGTGTGACAGAACAAGAACCGTGTGACAGCAAGCAGGATCAGGCCTGCTGCTGAAATCAAAGTCCTTTTTGAAATCAACTGAAACAACAGGCGCTCGTCTCTACCGGGGCGGAGACTGCTTCGAAACGCCATCTGATTGGACGAGCTGCTTCGACCGTAAATGTACAGTAACCGTATCAATCAATACCTTACAGCGTTGCCTAGTTTATGTAATGTCTGGTTATCTCACTCTTCTCAGAGATGTAATGTGTTGAATAAATACATGAATCTCAAAACCTTTCAAGAATATTCCCCCAGAAACAGAAAAAAACAAATGAAGCCTATTAAGTACGTCTGTGCGATACGTGTTGGTAGGGCAGTCATCTTGAGAAGTGGGACAAAAC